GGTCCATGATGTATCTGGTACTGTTGGATCAATATCAGTAGCCATACAGTCATTAGGTAAGACGTGAGTTGAATATTCTGATCCATGCTGTGTCCGGTACTGTTGGATCAATATCAGTAGCCATACAGTCATAAGGTAAGTTGTGTGTTGAATACTCTGGTCCATGCTGTGTCTGGTACTGTTGGATCAATATCAGTAGCCATACAGTCATTAGGTAAGTTGTGTGTTGAATACTCTGATCCATGCTGTGTCTGGTACTGTTGGATCAATATCAGTAGCCATACAGTCATTAGGTAAGTTGTGTGTTGAATACTCTGGTCCATGATGTATCTGGTACTGTTGGATCAATATCAGTAGCCATACAGTCATTAGGTAAGACGCGAGTTGAATATTCTGGTCCATGCTATGTCCGGTACTGTTATATTGTTCATAGAATTATTTCATTTGTCATGCCTCATATCCTCTCTATTGTATCTGTTTTATAGAGGACGGTCGTGACAGTACCACACCGTTATTCTATGGACCCATAGACAACACTGGAGTACATACGGTAGACTTCTACAGATCACCATTATCTGTTCCTGCCGCAGATTCAAACTTACCGGACTATGATAACGATATTTTCACTTTCACCGTCCAGATACCGAAGGATAAAGATGCTGGCGATGGTAAGTATAAGCTCAACGTTCTCTTGACCTTATTTGTTGAGTGCCAATATTGGTTTTTAAAATACTGTTAATCAGGCAAAAGCGACACAGCAACTTTCAAGATATTGATATCGCTGTAAATAGCATTCATATTATCAAATATGATTAGTTTTTCATGCAGATGTTTGATTCAAACAAAAATTAATAATTCGAAAATCGAAATTAGCATCAGACATGTTTATAGCTACTGTAGCGTTGAAATAATTTCACAAGGATATTGGTATGGCAGTAAACTTTCTTGTACTTCACAACAAATATAACCGAAAAGACACAGTAACACAGTTCTGTCATCGTCTGCATACGTTGTCCACACGAGATCTGTTTTTGAGTGCTGAACCACAATCTGTAATCATGTCAGTTCTACAATTAGTAAGATCTCGTAATCAAGACGAACCCCATGTGATCAAATTATCAAAGAATTAACATTTCTGTCATCGAAAATGTGTTGACATAAACAAGTGACAATATATTTGTGTGAGTCATTCTGCATTCTGATAAAAAGCTGTCGTATGTAGTCTTGAAGATCTGGTTGCTTTTAATTCCGGTCTTGAAAGATTGACACTTTCCCTGGACTCTAAATCGTATATTCAGTGTACAGCGTTTCATGCTTGCTTTTAACTGAGTGTGAAATTTCACAGCTTGTGGTCTATGTTTACTGAGCATCCATGGTACGTCTGTCTGTGTCGATCCAATCTTGTATTCGTGGCTGACGTATCAACCGAGCGAGAAGATCATCCCGTTGTTGACCAAGCAAGATAGTATCATAACGTTGACTACCATGTCAACACACGGATCTAAATCGCAGGAACAAATACACAACACATCATCACAAGGTCAGTTTAATGGAATATATTGCTTCATTTTATGCAGAATTTGTTAGTGTGATTCTGATTGTTTTTAATTTACAAACTTAAGTTATTTTGAATCTTTGGTCCTTTCTTATTTGTGTCTAATTGGTTGAGAGTACCACCTAAGTCTCCTATAATTGGTTGAAAGTACCACCTAAGTCTCCTATTATTGGTTGATAGTACCACCTAAGTTTTCTACTATTGGTTGAAAGTACCACCTAAGTTTTCTACTATTGGTTGAAAGTACCACCTAAGTCTCCTATTGTTGGTTGATTGTACCACCTTTGTCTCCTTCTATTGGTTAAAAGTTCCAGCTAAGTCTTCTATAATTGGTTGAAAGTCCCACCTTAGTCTCTTATTATTGATTGAAAGTACCACCTAAGACTCTTATTATTGGTTGAAAGTACTACCTATGAAGTCTCTTATTATTGGTTGAAAGTACCGCCTAAGTCACCTTGTTTTAAAATTCTCCAAAGTCTTCTGTTTGGGTAAAAAAACAACCTCCTAGGCCCTTTGCAATTGTTTGTGAAAACCCCTTAGGTACCTCAATATTTACATCTTGTGTACTTGCCATGCAGATTCCACTCATTCAAGCAGCTTAAGACTATCAAAGCAATCTGAGAGTCAATCACCATCACAGCCAACACCGTCTCCAACGGAAACCACTCAAGATGCTCTAAAAACTAAGAAAAATAAAGATGGTATGCCTAATATCGTGGAAATCTGGACCATTATAAAACAGTTACAAGTCCAGGTATGTGCTTCCTTCACAAAAAAAGGCCAGTCACCTTATTCAGATATTTTTAAAATTCATGTTATTTGTAAAAGTGACCTTTGCACTGCAGTTTCTAGGACAGAGAAATTTTATCCATAAAAGCACAATCAAATTATATTGTGAAAAAAATAATGATTTAAATTTATTTTGTATTAAGCTGACAGGGTCTGTCAAAAAATCAAATCCAAAATAACCTTATTAACCCATCATGGTCTTTTCTTTTCTTGAACTCTGAAGGTTGAAATGAATTCGTGTAGCATCTATTTGCCATCCAGTCATATGCAGCTCAACACTATGTTGTACAAACACAATATTCCCCAAGCTTTTCATGCCGCTGTGCTTTCGTCGGAATCTCTTTACCCACCGTCTGCAGTTATCTGTCTTCCTTCTGTGAAAGTGATCAGTGCCGGGCACAAACATATCTCACCGTTACAAGAAATTCCGCTGGATCAATTGGACGTTCCTATCGAGACAGGTAAGGTTATTTCGGTCATAATTTGCCAGAATTTGAATATATGAGTAGGTCCTATCATGTCACCATAGAAACAAGGTCAGAGTTCAGTTTGTAGTGGTTCAGAGCATTCTCCTTCCCAAAGTTCCTTGCGGCTAGAACACCGAAAGTATCTCCGCCACCACAAATTTCCGCCTTGTGGTGAAACGCTACAAAACTTTTACTATGTGTATTCTTGGCGTGTTTTCATTATTATATGGCTTTCGTGTTGATTTATTTCTACAGGTAAACAAGTTTTAAAATATTTTATCGGTAGCTGATAATGATTGTTTCGTAAACGCTCTGTAAAGGGTGAAATAGTTATAATTGACAAAAAAAATAATTTTATCATGGAACAATGGTTACTAGGGTGTTACTCGGTCAATGTAGCTGCCCGTCCTGTCGATTGCCAGGCGACGTAATATAAAGCAAACAAAAGCATTTCGTGGTATTGAAACTAAACGGTCCTTCTGCCACACTGTTTGTGCTACAGAAGGTAAAAATGAGCTTCTCACTTTGAAAACAAACGGAATCTATAGACAATGCATATGCTTTCGTCGAGTTCGAAAATTGAACACCTGCATGGCAATGTTTTGGTCGGTGTCTTTGAAAGTAGTATCACTGTGATGCATCGACCAATCAACAACGAGCATAAGATCGCATGGTGGCAGAGATATATTCGCAGAAATAGAACTCTGCCCTGGGAGATTAGGTTCAGAGATCAAATTTTTAAAATATTACTGTTCAGGCCTTTGGCTATCCCGTCTAGATTGTGCTGGAGAACTAGTATCAATATTGGGTCAGAAGTCAAATTGTGATTGGGTCCGAGGTCAAATTGTGATTGGGTCCGAGGTCAAATTGTTATTGGGTCAGAGGTCAAATTGTGATTGGGTCAAAGGTCAAATTGTGACAGCACACAGATTGAAAGAAATACTTTTAATTTAGTGAAACAATCGACATTGATATACTGATATGAACTTTTGGTCAAAGTTGACACCAGTAGTTTTGATAGTATTGAAACAATTGCTGATTTTCCGTTATATTACATGAAAGACGCATACCAACGCTAGCCACAAAAATTTAATGATTTGATTTTGAAATTGAAATCCTTTTTTTTTTAAAGCTCACTGTTGAAACATACATCATCAAAATTGATCATCATCAAATGTGTATGCCACATTATTAACCATGTAAATGCGGATCATTTGTCCAATCCTTTGCAATGTTTTGACGCTTCTACGACACTACCTTTGTTTCTTCTGTTTTATGTCTGATTTCACGCACAATGTGGGACCTCGCAGTGACCAGAAAATGGTCTATTCAACTTAATTTCATGTCAAAATCATTTTATTTTCTTCTTTTCAGGTGGGGATAAATTACCATGGTCAATAAGTTTTACAAATTTCAGCTGTTACACAATACTGGATTCCCAGAGGGTGTATTACATGGTAAAACCAATGGGAGTGACTTCTACTTTAGCTGTTAGCACAGTTGATGGTACCCCCTCTGGGATCAAATCAACATTAGGTCTATGTTTACACGCTGATATGCAAGCTGTAATGCTGAATTGTTCCCATGAGCAGGTAACTATTGGACGGATCGAATGAAATACAAATTCGCAATTTGTAAATATTTCATTTTTGATGTTTACAAAATGAGGTATTTTACTGTGTGTAACCAAAATATTAGAGTCTACAGGGACAGGCAACATTGACAAAAATCAAAGGAAATAAAAATATTGTTTCATGCAACGTCGCTTTATGTGTTATACTGTAAAATGACTAATTTTCACTGGGTTTAAATTTCACTGATTTACCATTTCAGGCATAATTCAGTGGGTTTTAAATTCACGGTTTCATCATTTAGATAATGTGTTCTATGCTAAATTTTTCATATTCACTCGGTTTTAATTTAGCACATTTTCCAGTCAAGCAAAATTGAAACCCAGTGAGTAATTAATCCACATTAAGCAAAATTAAAACCCAGTGTGTAATTAATCCACATTAAGCAAAATTAAAACCCAGTGAGTAATTAATCCACATTAAGCAAAATTAAAACCCAGTGAGTAATTAATCCACATTAAGCAAAATTAAAACCCAGTGAGTAATTAATCCACATTAAGCAAAATTAAAATTGGTGAGTAATTAATCAACAACATAACAATTTTTTTCAGTAGTTTATGTAACCTGAATTTGAAAATATCAAATAGATTAGATGACAGACTAGTTTAGATTTAAATTTTCATATACTGTTGCTAAGATAATTAGGAGCCATTTTGTAATCCATTTTTGAAAAGTGTTTCAGATTTTTTTGAAAACCTACTACCCCTGGTACATGTAGTTTATATAAACTGATTATTTTTGTTTTGAAATTTGTTCATAAAAAAAACCCATAAAAATCATATTTTGTGATGTTAGAATTATACCTGCTGTAATATGTATGACATAACTTAGAATATTTGAATGTAGTCGTGCACGTCAACTTTCAAAAATCACGTTTCAATCATAGAAAAACCACAATTACCTGTCCCTGTGTTCTCTCGTGTCTTTGTTTTAACTCGATTCAGTATACTTTGTGATTGCTATTCGCCAATTAAAGTTTATTTTAACATTGCAATACATTCTAGGTTAATTTGATATATACGTTAGTAATGACAGCTGTATCCACTGCAAAAAATGTGTTGACTAAGAAGACGTCCATTCCGTCGCCCCCGTCAAGTATGCAGCCAAGTCCGGGAGTGATAGTTACATCTGGTAAGCAACCAATCAAAACGGTCCAAAGTACAACTTCTTCCAGCGCTGTCGAGATTGATGCTCCGATTGAGCCAGCATCGGCTGACGAGACTGGGACGTCAACAGGGTTGTCCTGGGAAGAGGATGGATGTAAGACCAGTGGGAGGAAGAGTGCAAGGATCTCCCTATGGATGCAATGGACTGTGCCAAAACTCACTGTTAATCTTTATGGAGAAGATTCTAAAATTGAAAATAGAGGTAAGGAATTGTATTTCAAATTCTATTTAGTTAACAAACAATTACAAATGCTGTGCCTAGTGATACATACTTCTCGTGAATGTCTAACAGTAATGTAATGTCCAGATAACTTATGGGAGATCGTGGATGAGATCCGCAGGTGCTTGTGGTCAACCGGGTCTGATTATTACCAGGATAATGCATTGACTGACGGACAGATGTTTGCACAGCCCTGTCATGTAGATCAAACATATATATGGTTCGTGGCTATGTACAATTAGCTGGGAGAGACATTTTTGTTAGTATTTGTTCAGATGCATCAAGCATTTTGAATCAAGCGTTTCTGTCATTCTGAATCTGGATTTTAGTCATGCATGGATAGATATTATTCATACTTGGAACTTCATAGAACCGTGATTTTGTTTATAAATCAGATTCAATTTGGAAATTTTGTTTTAAAGAATGATGTTCAGGAGATGTATCTCTGATATGCCACAACTATTGCATTCAAACTTTTGGGGGAAGGGAGGTTACTAATAACGCAAGTTTCTCAATGTGTCCAAATTTGCTAGTACGACATTGTATAAACGATTGTCTGAAAATGATTGATAGGAAAGCTGTTCACAGCATCAATTTTATTCTACATGTGAAATGTATTGATGTCATACATTCATTTCAAGTTATGATTCAAAATGGCTGATCGATTCAGTTTTGTCTACGATTGCATGATGGGGAATGTGTCAATGACTTTTTTTCATCATGTTTTTTTTTTAAAGAAATCAAGATAATATCTGAGTTGGAAGATTTGAGTGCGTCCATAGATATCCAAGACGTGTACAGTAAAGTCAAGTGTAAAATTGGAACTCTGAATGTGAATCACTATAACAAAAGGTATCATAATCTTACTTGATTTCACCAGTGATTTGTCTTTAACTAACCATTTCACCACCATTTGTAAATGTTGTAATTTTTCGTAAAGTACAAATGTAGTCCTGTGTAACTTCTAATCTAATATTTCCATGGAACTAAAGACTAAAGATTGAATGCCAAACACAACTTTTGTTCCCTTTTTTTTTTTTTTTACTTTCGCAGTAATGATGTTTGGAAACCTGGCGCCTTCAACGGGGTGTTATTCTCGTGTACTGAGAAAATTAACCGTAACACTGGAGTAATGAAGCAACAAACTGAGATGGATTCACCCTCACCATTCAAGAGTCCGTTTTCTACTGCACCACTAAAGTCGCAAGATAATGCCGGCTTTCTGTCAGTCACTTTCACAAGTGCTCTGTCAAAGTCTGTCAGACAGAAGATGTTTGGACTAAAGGGTGAAAAAGGCGCGTCTAAATTCACCAATTACATCAATGAAATTTGTCTGAACATTCAGCCATATGATATTGTATTATGGTGCCCTACAATTGTTACAGCACTGGGCATTTTTGTTGTAAACAAAGATGGCAGTCATTCTGTTAAAGGTCAAAAGGTCACAATGGGTCAGAGGTTGAGATCCACAGATCACATGTCTGAAATCACTGTCAGCACAAACGAATCTGGTTCGAGGAAGCGATTAAGAACTCGAAAGAGGAAGGAAACTTCTGATTTATTTCCGTTTTCAACAAGGAATCTTCCCTTGTTGTATGTGAATATGAGTGAATTTAGATTGTTTGTGCCGTCTGGGTCTAAAAAATCGGAAGATTCGTCAAAGAAATGTGATTTGGATACCGTGCTGATGCAGGTCAGTTCTGTGAGCCTTGTACCACATGCAGATAACCCACTCTCAAGACTTGTATTAAAGAAAGACATTTACAGGCATGCAATGCATGCTGGGATCTTACAGCAGCCAGGGTCTGAGGTAGAGGATCGGCAGTATCAATTGGATATCAGTGGGATGAGCCTGTGTGTTGTATCATGGGAAGAGCTTGTGGGCAGTGAACAAGGTAACAGTATGATGTCGCTGGGTACTGAAGAATTAACCATGGGTCAAAATCCTGCACTTGAATGGAACACTGCATTAGCAAGGTACAATAATTTGCTCCAGTTAATTTGAAAATTTTCTTTGGAGAGATAAAATTTGGAAAACATTTAAGCTGATCCTTTATTTTCGCTTCAAAAAATCTATTTTTTTGCAATTTCCAGATGCATCTTTTTTCAGAATTTCCTGAAATACCAAAGTCAACTATTGTAACATTTTTCAAATTTATGCAAAATAAAAAACCTTGATCAAAATATTTCATTTTAAACTAAATGTTTCAAAGAAATTAAAGAAAAATACTGGGACATAAAAATGTACAAAATGATAAATCTTTTTTTTTTGCAGGAAAAATCAAATTGTACAATTAAAGTTCATTTCTTGTTCTGCAGGAAAAGTCCTCAGGGCATCCGACTGAATCCTGTTGTGTTGGGATTTGATGTGAGGATTGTAGCAGCACCTGCTGTAATGTGTGATAAACAGACACCAGAGGGCGGTATGCCAGAGGTAAGAAGCCCGTTACGAATATTAACTGTAGGGGGCAGTATCTAAATTATCAGAACAAATAATGAATTTATAATAATCACATAAGACGTTGCATTGTAATTAAACATGGTCTCACAATAATGTCAACAGAAGTTTAAGTAAAATGTCATTCAACTATCTTGAAATTTTAGCCACTTTTGACAGGAATTTTTGTTAAATTGTTCCCTGTGGCTATCTGTTTAAAAGTTCTAAAAATTAACTTGTGGTTACCAAACTAGTTTTTGAACTATGACCCTCCCTTATGTATTTTAACTATTTTCCTATTCAAAATGACTGCTAAAATTAGTGCTTAAATTATTGTTCACATGGAAATGAGTTTTTGTACTTAGCCACATCTATCCTCAAAGTTACTCAAAAACCTTTTTTTTAGACTGTCACTGTTTGCGGACATTCATTGGAAATCAATATGACTACAGACATGGAAGTTTACCTCAGCACGGAACAAGTCCATCTTGCTGAATGCATCGTCAATACGAACATTATGACGATATTGAAATCTGCAGAAAAACAAACGATTGGTCAAGGTGAGATTGAAAGTAATAAAGTTAGTAATGCCTATGAAGATGGCAAAGCTTCACAAATTGATGACAGTGGAATCGGCAGCGAAAGTTCAACGGTGTTCCGGATACCGTCAAGTTCTACCAGGAAAGGTAAACGTCAAATGGCACCACAAATGGCAACGTTACATGAACGGAGTGGGAGATCGGTGTCGTTTACCCCGTTTGATGTGTTATTAACGGCCGGGAAGCTGTCAGTACTGTTGTATTCCATGGAGGAAGTTTCACAGAGTGGCGAAAACCAAGAGAATTCATCTGGGAAAATGAAATTCCAGCAAAAGAGTAGTCCGAACAGTAAAAGCACCAGAGGGTGTGAGCTGAAAGCACCCGTGAAGGATAACAAAAAGTTACCAAGAAAGCTATCTGGTCATGTCGAGAAGACAAGACGCGGGAGTGCTCATATGGATTCGCCATCTTCGGGAAGAGTCGTAAAGCCTTTCCTGTACACTGTATTCTCACAGCCGCATACAATTTTTTCGATTGAACAAAGGCAGCAACGAGTTGAGCTCTCGTGCTATGATTTCACTGTTCGAGGAGTTGCTGCAAATTACCAGAACACAGGTACTGTGATTTATTTTGAAACCATACATCTCATTAGTTCCTGTTCAGCCATAATCTGAAAATATGGTCTCTTGGATTACCCCTGGACCAATCATGTTCAAACTTGTGTACATGCTTTTCTTCAATGTTCAATTCAAGATAGCCAAGATAAAATGGATGTCATTTTAAATAAAAAAATTCCTCAAAATCAAGTATTTCTGACCTGGACCTTGTTTTATCTGGACATATTTCGTTCAATCATTAATCGTAATGTGACCTTGATGTTTGAACCTTGAATTCCCTAATAGTGGCTATTTCGTTTAAACTTTATATGATGCAAGATCAATGGCAGTCATTTCAGTGTGAAAAATGCAGAAAAATCAAGCATTTCTGCCACAAATCGTGAATTGTGAATGAATAGAATTAATTCGAACTTGGTGCAAAAACCATGGGACTTTAAAACCCAGTTATTTTGTTTTCCATATCAGATTCAAAATGACTCATAAATTATTTTTCAGATACTGGTAAAATTTTACCGGATCCATCAGATTATGGTGTGCAATGGTTGGAAACTTGCCAAGGTGAACCAGATCCTAAAACTGGTATACTGCCCTCACTGTATACACTCACTGTCAATGATTTCATGTTTAAACCAGGTAACTATCATTCTATGCTGAAACTTCCTCAATCTTTCAAAACAAACGTAACTCGTAGTGTTTCAGTGTGAAACTGGTTTTCTCTTGAGTTCCATGTCCTTGGCATTGTAAAAATGATTTCAATTTGCTTATTTGGGGGAAAACTTACTCTACCGTGTCACCCAGATTGGTGGCTTTACACTATTTGATCATTATGGTGAAACAAACACAATTCATATTCAATCCACACTTTGCAATGACATTGTATAACCACCCTGCAATATGCCCTGCCAGTAAATGGGTGAAAAAAAGGTGTTTTGGGTTTGTTTGTTTTATCCATCATCACCTGTCAATAAATATACTACCGGTAGTCTTGTTTTGAGGGGGATTTTGACAAACAACTATGCAATAAAACACAGTTGTGTAATCGAACACCATTGTATCTGTTTGATGTAACCAAAGCTCTTCATCTTGAAGAGGAATTCGCCAACTTTTTGAAAATGTTGACTTGATTATGTACTTTGTACCGGATGTGTGGCAAATTTCAGATTAAACCAGCTTTATTAAAAACTCAGAGATCTAACACTATTCTATTAAAATTCTGTTCAAATGATGACATTTTTTTTGTTTTCTATTTTACCTGAAGCAAATGTCAAATTGAACATTGCTCGGCCGCTAAAGTTAAATCTAAGCATCACTAAAGTGGACGAAGTAATGGAATTTCTAGGAAAGTTGTCTCCCAAGACGACGGATAATACAATGATGCTAAAGAAAGATCTGGCATCACCAGATGTTTCACAGCAAGAAACTGAGAAACACGAAACTGCGCCACCAGAGTATGTACCAGGAAATGCAGGGGATGTCAAAAATGTTAAGACTGGTGCTGGTCGCCGTGACAATGTCTTCCCGATTATCATCCCGATGCCGAGTGCTGACCAGAATTCCACAACTTCACTGTCTGTTGGCTCCTATAGAAAGAAGAATCTAAGTCGGGCACAAGATGATTCTGTCACTATGGTGGAAATGATACTGGCACAGTTGGATACAGTATTGTTCCAGGCGTGCGAATTTGTGGTTGTCGTGGCAACAGTTCCTCATCCAAACTTTCCACATGCTGTGTTTTCTCTGGGGAATATGTCAGGCGAAATGAGTGTGAAGTCAAAGTCAAATGGTAATTATTGGCATTCATAATTTTAAGCTTTTTACTTCAAAGGTCAACTTCCGTCATCTTTCACAGGATCTATTGGAAATTATGTACATTTGCTCTAAATTTAACTATTATTATAGAAAATGTTGCAGGAAAAATGCTGTTCAAGGGGTTAACAGTTTCACTAACAGACTTTCTCGCCCAAATTTGTCTGCATTTTTTCCCTTATGTTCTTCATTATTTCTGGAAATGAACCCTAATTTTGGAGCCAACAGACAAAATTTGAGTTGATTTTCAATTTCTACTGAAAAAAGTTTGCTATTTTTGCTCAGTGTTCGGAAGGAAACTGCAGACTATAAACTTTTTGTTAGTTTGTGGTGCAACGGTTAAAAAATCTTTACTCGATTATGAAATGTGTGATTACCTGAAACCTTGATAATAAAATCCATCATTTAATATGGTCATATTTTCTAGGTTTGATTGAAAAAGTAAATGCAATGATAAATCTGAATGAAATTGCTCTGAAAACCTCCCTCCAACATAAAAGCCGTCCACTGATTGGTCCAGTCAACACCACCATGTTACTTGATGCTGATTGGTGTATGCACAGTGGGTCTGATGAAAAGTTAAACTTACCAAAGATTGCATTCAATGTTGAATGTGGGCTTATTCAGCTGCAAATAGGACTGGCACAATTCAACTGTATTGAGATGATGATGAAGCATGTTACAGAGTACTTAGAAAAAAGTCGAAAAATCACCGGGGTAGGGAGAATTTATGTGTTCTTTTTTAAATTACAACAATAAAGTTCAGCCATACTGTGCATTTTCTCGCACATTAGATGATTGTCCTTGGGATATATTTCTGTATTATGCAAATGTATTGACCCCCTAACTTATCATTAATTGTTTGAAAATTTTGCTGTGCACTTACTGCCACTTAATTGTTTATATAAATATTATATAGAGTATGTAAATTAGTGTTATTTAATTTTGTCGAGCTAAATAGCATAATTTTCTGATATCTACAGGTCTTGATTAAATTTTGGAAAAAAATATGGGTGTGGCCCAATAGGTGATTTTCCATTCAACTGCGAGATCTTGCGAGATGCATGAAAGACACGCGTCGAACGATTTGATTTTGAACTTGAATTTCTTTATTTCGTAGCTCACATTGACCGGCCGATATTCGACAACGGAATATTGCTTACAAATACCCTCACTTAATCAAAATTATTAAGCATGGAAATGCCCCCCCCCCCCCAAAAAAAAAAAAAATTTCGCGTTTGTCGAATCCCAAGCGATGTTTGACGCCACTACGACGCTATGACCTTTGTTTGTCCTGTTTTCACGTTCAATTTCATGCATAATGCGTGATTCTTGCAGTGAACGGAAAATGGTTTATTATTTTTGACCCCACCCATGTCCAGACCACCGTTTTTAGTGATTATCGATACATACCCACTTCTGTACACCAAGACGCATTTGCAGTGTATAGCTGTTCTCTGCGAGAGCCAAAAATATTTTTTCTGAAAGCACAGTTTTAAAATAAAAGATCAAAATAATAATGTTTCCTTTAATTGTAATACATTCAATGACTTTTGTATGTTGTAGGTAAAAGAAAGCAAAACAAATAAGGAAAAAGTTGTTGATGAAGATTCAGATAGTTTAGCTGAGAAAAATTCCATCAATAATGACATTGTTTCATCTACTGATGATTTGAGAGTTGGTACATTCCAGTATATCACTGATAAAGGTAGGTTAGCTGTCACAGTAGTTATACTCACTCCCCCCAGTTTACCATTATCGTATTATCTACTGATGATTTGAGAGTTGGTACATTCCAGTATATCACTGATAAAGGTAAGTTAGCTGTCACAGTAGTTGTACTCACCCCACCCCCCCTCCCCAGTTTACCATTATCGTATTATCTACTGATGATTTGAGAGTTGGTACATTCCAGTATATCACTGATAAAGGTAAGTTAGCTGTCACAGTAGTTGTACTCACCCCCCCCCCTCCCTCCCCAGTTTACCATTATCATATTATCTACTGATGATTTGAGAGTTGGTACATTCCAGTATATCACTGATAAAGGTAAGTTAGCTGTCACAGTAGTTGTACTCACCCCCCCCCCCCCTCCCTTCCCAGTTTACCATTATCGTATTATCTACTGATGATTTGAGAGTTGGTACATTCCAGTATATCACTGATAAAGGTGAGTTAGCTGTCACAGTAGTTATACTCACCCCCCCCCCTCCCCAGTTTACCATTATCGTATTATCTACTGATGATTTGAGAGTTGGTACATTCCAGTATATCACTGATAAAAATAAGTTAGCTGTCACAGTAGTTGTACTCACTCCCACTGATATTAAATTTTAATTTGTATAACTTAAATTGTTTTTATTTTATAGATGGTATGAATATTCAACCCAAGCCAAATGAGATTGTCTTCTGTAGTTATAGTCCAGATAGTCTTGGCACAATGACGTGGTGTTACAAGGAACCAAGAGTGTTGACGTATGTAGCAGTAACGCCAGTGCCGTTTACAACTAGTGTCGGTTCTGATCTTAGTAATTCAAGCCATGTAGACAAACAGGTAAAGCATAAACACAACCAGTCCTGTAGTTTTATATTAAAAACATTTACATTAAAAAACTGCAATCCATCCGGGCATTTTCACCGCTTGGCAACCCTGGCGGTGAAAACAAAGGCCAAAAACTCTCAGAAAACGGTACTTTGGGATGATTGTTGAGACTCCTCTGAACAGTGTAACAAGATTAGCCCTACGTGTGTAACACATATAAATTTGGTTGTTCAGAATTACTTCAAAGTTGAGTTTGTGTTGTTTTCTTGAATTTTCACCGGCTCGACCTGCGTTCCACAGCATTGCACACAGAGCCCATAGAAATACATGTACAGTGGTGCGCGTCTTAGCAACGTGGAAAGTTTTGTGACGTAGCTCCGCCCCCGAGGATAAAGGAGTTTTGAGTTTTCTGGTTGCTTCAAAACTGAGCATGTTCATGATGGAAAGGTGAGGGGGGGGGGGTATTTTATATCTAGTCATTTCTTGAACCTGTTTGAAAAAAACATGTAGAGACAAAAGTACATAAAGCTACCAAGATGTTATAAATATATTTTGTCCAACTTCATTGTGTGTGTGTGTGACTGAAAAACATGTTTTCCATATTTTTTTGAATATGCTATAAACTTTCAAAGGTGACTTGAATGCTTTTATAGAGTCTTGCAGTGAATTCCAGTTTGTTATTCTGCCCCCAATGTTATTTGTATTGAATACTGTAGAATACTTTATTTTCGCTTGGAATTTATTTTCGCTGTTTTCGCTGAAGGGATGATTCCGTGAAAATAAAATCCAGCGAATATACTTTTTTCATATATATTTTACATTAAACTCATCAAAAATCAGTGAAAATAAATTCTACACAAAACGCCTAAAAAGCTATTTCAGCGAAAATTAATTCCAGCGAAAATAAAGTATTCCACAGTATATTTGCATATAATTTCCCTTATATGTGGTAAATTACATCACCATACATTGAACATGTTTCATGTTTTTGACTTCGCACTAAGGAAGGAGAACAATGAACAATACTTTTTCACTTGGAATTTATTTTGGCTAAAAGAATTATTCAGTAAAAATACCCTTTTTCCTATATTTTACATTCAACTCATCAAAAATCAGTGAAAATAAACTTCGTACAAAACAGCTAAAAAAAATTTTTTAGTGAAAATTTGTATCACCTAAAATAAGTATTTTACAGTAACCATTTTTTTTCACAAACTCAGACACATTTGCTTTCGTGTTTTCAAGAATTATATGTTTGTTTTGCGTTACTGTGATCATCTTGCGCTTGTATAATTTCACATATACCATAACATCAGTTACGTACCCTTGTCTTAAAAATCCTTGGTTATATCGTTGTCTTTTCCGCTCCTAGATACCATGCACCATGGAATACTGGGACAATTTGAAGAAGTCATTTGTGGTTTATAAACAGTTGTTTGTCGCAGAGGATCAATCGTATCAAGTAAAGCTACCAGATATCAAAGATGCCACCACAGCCAATGAAAATATAGCAGCAGAGATGTGGAGAGTTGTGTTGCATTCTGGGAATTACCAAGAAGACGATTTGTAATTATTTCTGTTATGTTAATATGAATTAGGGGTGGGTTGGGGAAGGGGGTCACACCTGAGTTGCCATGCTGGTTATTGGTCTGTATAGTTGACACTCAAGCAATTGACCCAGCAAATGGAATTGATTAATTAAAATTTAACGCATTGCCAGTGTACGCCCCATTGATTTTGGTATGTTTATGGAATCTTTATGAACCAAATAATGACTATTGCATTGTGTAAATACATCACTTTTATGCATTTGATTCGTGATTTACAATATGTGCATTCAGGTTTTTTTGCCATCCAAGAAAGGTTGTATTGGCCGATGCCACTGGTCCTCCTTTGCTGTGAATAGTTGTTCAAAATTGCAGTCAACACCAAAGTTTGGCTGGATTTTGTTAACCGTTTGTGATTGTCCTGGAGAGTATAATGGTATTAGCTAAAAGGAATGTAATGAAAAAATAACTACCCTAATATGGGCATGTTTACCTTCCTAACGACAAATGATCCCATGTGCTCAGCCACAAACACTCGTATTCAGGCAATTATATATATATATATATATACTACTTGTCCAGTTGTCTTGATAACATTTCTTTTCTTTTTTTGGTTTCCAGAATTGATGATGACACATCATCCGTGCATGCCTTCACCGATGAGCCCCCGATTTCTCCCATGGCTTTGGCTGCGTCAATGCGAGTGGATTCGTGCTTTGCTGCGAAATTTGTCCCCGCATTCTCTGCATCTTTGAACTTCACTATCATACAGATAAAATGCAGCAACCATATCAAGTACGCTGGCACTGGTGAGTCAAATGGATCTTGTAATATTTCATGTGAACAATTCATTTATAAGATGATGTATAAGTGATATGGTATGCGATGAAGGTCACACAAGAATATAAAAAAAATTATTCCGGCAAGTTGCAAGATGATCACAATGTAATGTAACACATTATTATTTAGAAAAGAAAAACTAATTTGATATTTAAAAAAAAATACTATTTTATTGATGAAACTTTTTATATATACCTAATCATTTGGCAAATTTTTGTAATTTATTGACCTCCAAAATTATGACCTCACCAGAAATTGCTCACTCATTTTTACTACAAATATTTGTTTAGAGACATGACTTTCTATAATTATTCTATTTCTGCAACTTTTATATTTGTTGAATTTTTACTAAAAAAAATTTATCGTTTTGTATTCTAAAAACTCGACTGCTCAAAAGAAATTATTTAAAATGGTTGAAATTTTAAAGTTTTTGCGGTTTCTGGTCTACACACTTTTCAGAATTTTAGAAAAACATAAATTTAATGAAAATTCAGAATAAAAATCCACAAGCATACCTTGATTTTTTTTGGCCTAATTAATATCTTTTTCAATTTACTCTACCGCTATAGCATCGCCAGTTAAACTAGACCCATATGAATTTGATGGGACTGCCCCAGTAGATCAAGAATTTATGGTGGTTACTCTCGAAGGACCATCGGCGTTAGTCAACTGCTGGAGAGGAGACAATACAAGAACCCACATCCAGGTAGGTGCAGTGCATTGTGGGGGGGGGGGGGTATGCAAATGTGACTATCCAGGTGGATCCAATGAATTATGGGAGAAATTTATGCAATTATTCCATCTGTATACTTTTCTTTCAACACTATGGTTGTGTTTTTTGTTTTTTCACAAAAAAATTGGTATTTTAAAAAATTCACCTTTTTTGAACAAAATTTGTTACGATTGTGAAAGTGTTTAGAAGGGAAAAATACAAAAATTAAAACATTTTTGTATGAATTTTTTGGTAGGACGATGAATTGAATTATTTCAATTTTTTTTGTTGTCTTCCAGATATCCAGCTCTTTGCAGTGTGACCTACTGGAGTACAGAAATCTGACGATGCAGTCTGTTATTGAGACCTTTGATATGATTGGCAGTTTATATATTAAACCCAATGCCATTGGATTGCAGTTGTCAGTGGAGCCTGTGTTCGTTAAAATTGCCCAAAGTGCAGTGCATACATTGAACTTGGCAGTGCAGACATTACTACAGGTAGAGATTGTACAAATATGTTAAATTTTTGCCCCCAGCAATTTTCAATTCTTATAATATTGATAAATTCGTGAAGGCCAAAGATTACAAAAATTCCTCTGATATGGTCACTGCTTAGAAATTTCCAAATTTTCTCGTATTTGCAGAGCAAAATTACATTTTACAAGCACTTTAGAGATGGACCAATAACAACCAGGTGTTTTTCAAGATTAATCATGGGTATATAGTTGTAGACTCTAAAAATTCAACCACCTAATTAGTCCCCGTTCGGACGGGGACTTATAATTCGGTCTCCGTGCGTCTGTCCGGAGTCATATCTCAGAATCCCTTGGACTGATTCCGTTCATTCTTTGCATGTGCCTAGTACTTTATGTGGAACATATGCACATGCAGTAGTTTAGCGATTTGATTCAAAATGGCCGACTGGCAGCCATCTTGTTTTTTGAAAATGTACAGGATTGTACTGTTTTTAGTTCTCTCAAAACTAATTATTTAAAACTGGTTAAAGTTATTGCAGTACATTACTACACTTTTTGAAATTGACCATCCCTCAGCACATCTCCCTTTAAATACCAAATATAAATAGAAAGTAGACTCTGTTTTAATTTTTCACACTAAAATGGTATTTGAAAACAACATATTCAAAATATTAACAATCTATTTTTCAGAATAACAAACCCGAGAAAGAACAGCTTCTCTACAATTATTACGTGATATGCAATGACACACAGGAGACGCTACGCTTTGGTCAGGTGTCTACAGATGAATCTATTATACTGGAAAGCAGAAAAATGCATGCATACAGCTGGAGAACTCATAAATCTGCACAGGTAATTCACCCTCCATATGCTGCCCTCCATCCCTGAAATTTATGGTGGTATAGTCTAAATTACCCATCATGCTCTTGTGAACAATCATGATACACAGAACCTTTTTAGTTCCCGTTCGGACGAGGTACGAAAAGGGGACTTATAATTTGGTTTCCGTGCGTCCGTCCGGAGTCATATCTCAGAATCCCTTAGATCAATTAGTGATTCGATTCAAAATGGCCATCTGGCAGCCATCTTGTTTTTTGAAAATGTTGTATTTTGGACATGCTTTGTCAGTTTTCATTCAAATTTAGTACATAGATCATACATGTTAGGATACATGTCCCAGGCTGTTCGTCAGTTCCTGAGTCTGTCTGTCCGTTCATCCGTGTGTCCGCCCGTCCCTGCGTCAGTCTGTCCAGAGTCATATTTGATACATGTCCATTTATTTCGCAATTGGATCCAAGATGGTCGACTGGCAGGCATCTTTTTGTTTTGTTTTCTTATGCGGTATCTTGGACGTGCTCTGTCAGTTTTCATTCAAATTTGGCACATACATGTACTTTATACATGTTAGGATGCATGTCCATGACAATTTGTTTCAAAATCTGGTCAAGGATGGCCGATTGACAGCCATCTGACTTTTTGGCCTTACTACTATATTTCCACAATTTATGTACCATTTTCATTCCTATTTGGCTCATACATATCAGTGTGTTTCATAATCAAATCAAAAATGGCCGAATAACGGCTGTTTTTATTTTTGGCCATATTACTACTACACGGAACACGTGTTTTGATGTAAATAAACAATCTGTTGTATACGCCACTTGGAACTCAAGTTTCTAGGACACACTCGCGACAACCCCTCCGCTTTAATATGACGAGCACAAAGAGAACTTTCAAAAATTTAACAGGGACTGTGTCATTTTCAATGACTTGTTTAAGTTGTGCTTTAACAGACTGCAACTGCTTTCTATTTTGTTTACATATTGCGTCAGAGTAAAGCTTTATGAGAGTGATCCACATCGGTAATTTGTCAGACATGCTTAGGGACGATGAACAAACTGGACACACACCCACCACCCCATCCCCTGCATGCGTTTCTTTTTCATGGGGTTTAGTGTCTAGATTACTGGTACATATCTCGACCTTTTTTTGTGAAATCATTTCTGATGTGGTATGGTATATGTCACAATATTCACATTAAATGTCATATTTGTTAAAGCGAGGGAGTCGTCACCTACGCATGCATCAGATGACCGTAGCGTGTCATTGTTTACAAACAAGCATCTACCCATTGCATTTTAGCCTGTGTTCCTATCGTCGCTTGGGACTCAATTCCCGTGTGTACGCAGGTAACGACCCTCCCGCTTAAAAACAACACTTGTGGAAACCGTAGTATTTATCACCACGGTATGTAAATTTTAGACGCTTAACAACAAACTCAATTGATCTAAGTTCATAATAACGCTTACTGAGGGTTATAATTCTGACAATCATCAATAACCATGCGCGTCCGACGTCGTGTGAAATTCGCTCAATTTAGTATATAAATCCTGACTGTAGTTACAAAATATTAATATAGTTTTTAGCTCTGCTGTCATCAAAAGATGACAGAGCTGTTCATTTATTCATCCCTGTCTGTCTTCCATACAGCGTTCGTCAACAACTCTATTTTAAATTTATCCTTCAAAACTGCCAGAGTAATAACTTGGTGAACCGTTGTCAAATTTGTTCATTTATGATGATATCTTCAATTCTCTGTTTTTTAGAGAATATATTTGATAAAAAAATTATATTTTCGATGAATGTTGAATACCTCATTGTACAGTACATTATCAACTTTGTTTTGAGTAAGACACTCTACAGAGACAGCAGAGCTAGTTCAATCGCTAGGTCCTATTTATGAGGCACCTTTGATTTATTGATAATACTAGGACATATTGGCGCTCAGCTCTACGAACAAATGATATCGGTTGATAACGTCATAGAATTATATCCGTACCACTCAATAAGGGAATAACTCTAAACACATCTTTCTTCATTTTCAGCAACTACATGTGTGTATAGAAGGATGGGGTAACTGGCGATGGGTGGAGCCATTCAATATCGACGACACTGCAACTACGATCCGTACTATACAACACAAGGGCAAAGCAGCTACGTTGTTTGTCAAAGTCAAGCAACTATCGCCACTTCAGAAGCAGGTGAGTGCCTGTCCTCCTATGGAAAACCTCACATTCATCGCATAGCCCGTGTTTAAATTCTTTGTATGGTATACTTCCCACAGTGTCCATGTCGAAAATAAAATAGTGTGAAATAAGAATTGAATCCAATAAATGACAGCTGACATGATTGTAAATCAGTGAGGATTTCCACGGAAACCACCTGTTTGATTGTGGTACCTTGCTTCATGGAGAACAATTGATTATGAGTATATATTTTCCTGGTTGCTAACTTACTCTGACACATTGCCAACCATGATGAATCAAAATATCTAGAGTGATAGAGTGGAATCGTTTGAAACAGAAATTGGTCATAGAAACCTCAAAAACAAAGTTTCAATTTTTCATGTTCATGTTTTTTGAGGTTTCCAATGACTGCTTTTCGTTTCTAGCAGTTCTACTCTACGAGAATTGTTTTTTTTTATAGTTTAACTATATTCAAACTACTAGAATTGTTACTATCCGTAACTCAGCCATAAAGTTTAATGCCAGGACATTGAATTTTTGAAAAATGAATGGCTTGTATAACATTGTTGATAGCATGGCATAATAGTCAGCATGTTCTACTCTGTTCTAAATATTAGTACAATCTGCCCTTTCTTCCAAACACACAGTATTAGGTTTAGGAGACTGGTTTGCACATACATTTGCAATAAGCACCACAAAAATGTCAAAAGAGACTTGTTGTCTAGTACAAAAATATATTTTTCTTAAAAAAAAAGAAATATTGATATCATTTCTTAATGTTTGTAGGTTATTATCAGCGGAAGACAGTGGTTCTCGAGTCGCTTGACCAAAGACTTGGAAGTTCAGCTGATCAGAGTTTCTAACGTAGGGTCCCGAACTATGCAAAGTAAACACACTCTACATCTACCGGCCAAAACATCTATCCCATCATGCATTATTGAAGACGAGGCGGTTACAGGAGTCAGAGTGAGGCTGTCTGATGTGAGCTGTGATTGGTCAGAACAGTTTGCTATCAGTGGTGAAATGAGTAAAACATGCACATTGATTAAGGTAACAAAGTTGTTTTAATTTATTGAATTTTTGTATTAATGTGTTTATTCAAGTGCTGAAAATGATAAGTAAAATCCCAGAAAATGTTAGTATCAGTCTGTCCAGGTTTCTGTCCGTTCATGCTGTCAATTCAACTTCTGTGCAGCAGACAACAGGCATTGTCTAAAGGCCTTTTTATATGAGTCAATTTTTGAGGCAAGGCACCATCAATGCATAATGCAATGCAGTCACAATAAAGGTACACAAGGCAACTAACTGTGGTTAAATCAGTTGCCTCAAAAATAAAATCAAGATGGCAGTTTTTTCAGACGACGATATCTGACCCAACTCAGACGAGCTAATTGCTTTGTGTGAACTAGACTTTACATTCAGATTTATCAGGCTTTTCATTTGTATGTCTATTATTGCTATCATTGTATGCACTGTGCAGCAGACCAAAGTAATATTAGGTAATGGTCAAAAAGTTCGTTCGTACAAATTTTTGGGTCATCACTTGACAACCATCTCCAGTCTCATTTTGTCCAGGGCCAAGTCATGATAGAACAGTTTATTTTCTTGATATTCTTATTTAATATTTTCTTTCAATCAGATTCCTTGTACTGGTAAAAAACATATCTACATCTGGTGTAGACTATTTACAGACAATCAACAGAGGCTGGTAAGTCAAATTTATTTTTCACCATTTTGCTTTCCCCTTCATTTTCATTTCTCTCAGTTCTCCCTTCCTCCTTTTTCTCTGCTCTTAAGTTTCCTTCCTTTTCCACAAACTCTTCCCTCCTTCCTCCTAATGAGGTTTGTCTGTATGTCCATCATCCTTTCTCTATGCTGTAACTAATGAAAAATCCGAAATTTTAAAAGCACTACAATTTCCTGATACTTTCGTATAGTGTAAAATACTTTATTTTAGCTGGAATGAATTTAGTGCCATATCTCTGCTTTCTGTGACTGATTATATTCAAATTTTAAATATTTATTATACATCATGTCATAGATATACAGATATACTGGTTTGACGATCCTATTATAAATGGCCAAATGGTGGCCATTTTTGTACTTAAAAAATCATCAAAATCAAGCATTTCTTGGCTGTTTACAGATGGATATTGTTCAAACTTGGACATTATAGGACCTGAATGCACATCCTTTTGTTTTTCAGATAAGATTCAAAATGTCCGACTGGCGGCCATTTTGTTTTAATGAATGTGGTTCTAGTGTCATATCTCTGACTTGCTGTGACTAATTATATTCAAATTTTAAATATTCATTATACATCATGTCATACTCTTAAAAATGGTCGAATGGTGGCCATTTTTGTGCTAAAAAATCATCAAATATCAAGCATTTCTGTCATTTATGGATAGATTTTGTTCAAACTTGGTACAAACATTAAACATTACGGGTTCCTGATGAACGTTATTTTATTTTTTAGATCGAATTCAGAATGGCTGACTAGTGGCCATTTTGTTTTAATGAATGGGCTTCTAGAGCCATATCTCTGACATACTTTGATTGACCATGTTCAAATTTTATATATTCATTATACATGTATTTAAAATGGCTGATTTTGTTTTAATTAATGCTGTTCCAGAGCAATATCTCTCGATACTCGTTTGACAATCAGATACAAATGTCAATCATTTAAATGTTAAACAATCATCATAATCATATTTCTGACATGTTTATATTCCAGCTATATTACTATAAACAAAACCATATATCTTAAATTTGATAACTAACAGGGACTGTGCCCATACATGGCTTGTTTTCACTGAATCATTCCTTCAGCGAAAATAGCAAAAACAAATTCCAAGCGAAAGTAAAGTATTTCACAGTAATTGAAATAGAGCATATAGGTACTCTTTCCTGTAACAATTTTAGGGGGTAATTCTCTATTTTTCGTCGTCATCATTGTCAACTTTGTTGCCTGGCTCTTCCCGGTAATATAAAATATTTTTGTCAAATTTTGCATTCTGTCCGAATTTGAGAAAAAAAATATAGAAAAGACAAGCTGCAAATTTGAATATTTGCAAGTACTGTAAAATACTTTATTTTCACTCAGAATTTTATTTTCGATATTTTCGCTGTGCAGCAATGAAAATAAAATTTAGGGAATATACTATTTTTTCTATATTTGACATTCAACTCGCCAAAAATCAGTGAAAATAAATTCCTTACAAAACACAAGTCTTTTCAGTGAGAATTGATTCCAGCTAAGTATTTCACAGTATACCAAGTTAAATACATTGTTACATTTTTGTTACAGGTTCTCTTCAGCCCGTTATTTGTTGTTCGTAGTCACCTGCCGAGACCGGTAGTAATGAACATAGAGACGAGTAAAACCAAGTCAATACGCCATTACAACATTTCAGATCAGGGACAGAATATATCCTTATATGATCTGGAACCAGATATCTGGCATTATGTTACATTTCAACTCAGGTCAGTGTTACCATGGAAACATGCATTGCGATTGCCTTCTATTGTTCATTGTATATGTCGTCTGTATTTATTTCAGTAATGACCACTGTTTGTGTTTCATGTTGACAGGGCAAATGTGTGAAATACTGCCCTTTTTACTGACACAGTTTACATATTTTTTCTTTTTTGTCACATTATTCTGTATTTTTCAATAATTTATTTATTAATTTTGAAGCAAAGGGATATAATTTCTCATGAATTACAAGTTTTGAACAAAAAATATGGAAAAATTTAAATTTGATTTTAGTGGGAGGTGAAAAAAGTTGATTTTTTTTTTTTTGCTTTTGTTTTTTTATACTTGATACGATGCTGTTTCAGACAATTTTTTTTTGGGAAAAATATGTCCAAGCACCTTTGAGTTTTCTTGTTCAATACAAGACATACAAAATAGTTGGGTAGCTATTTTTTAATATTCACCAGCGTAATTGTACATATTCAATAATGATCAAATCATACAGAAATGAAAACACGCTATGTTTTCTCCCACATATAGTGCAAAATCAGCATTATCACACCCACCAGTTTCAATATCAACTCAACAAATCAATGAGATTCATCGAGAACCGCCTTCTGATATAGATATTGAATCGCTGTGTTACAACTGGGAACAGAATCTGTCTGAGTATTGGCCTTACAATACGTTGGACTACGATGAAAGGTGAGTCTCACATTTTCTAATTAAACTACTTTGTTTGTGTTGAATTTTAGCAAGAGGATTCAGTATTCACGTCTGGCTAAATTCACAAAAAGTTTGGTCTTTGCGAAATTAAAAGAAATTTATTTCATGAAATGTAATGAATCGTATTTGCAAGTTTTAATGGAACTAAGTTTTTATCACCATTGCCAAAAATCAAATCATATGAATCACCATTATTTAAATTTTTAATAATATCCACCTGCATAAATTATAATGAGGTATATATACAGATCACATTTATTAATGTTGCTACATTTCATGAATCATTAACTAAACAAATTTTTATTTTTGATTTTATTGCAGTTTTATCACATTTGATCGAGATATTATACATGAAATAAAATCTCCGTTTGGTGTTGAAGGTGAATCATCGATGCAGCTTTCAAACATCGACCTCAAGGTCAACCTCTCTCAGTGTTGGTGCATGTTGAATACTTTGCTCATTGATGTAAAACCATGGTGTCTTATGGTCAATGAAACACAGCTCGAATTAAAGGTCTTGGAAGAGGATGAGATCCCTCTAGTGGTGAAACCAGGAAATGTTGTGACGCCACAAAATTTTCAGGTAATTCTTTTCATCAGATTCCTGTTTCTTATTGCAAATGTTCAAGATTTTTTTCAGATGTGAGTCACAGAGATCCAGCGCTATTTATTAGAGACCAAAACTGTGTTGTGGGAAAAATATATTACTGTAAAATACTTTATTTTAGCTGGAATAAGTTTTCACTGAAAAGACTTTTTGGATGATTTGTATGGAGTTTATTTTACTGATTCTTGATGAATTGAATGTAAAATATAAGAAAAAATGTATATTCGCTGGATTATATTTTCACTGAATTATCTACTCAGTGAAAATAGCGAAAATAAAGTGTTTTACAGTATTGAGTAGGTTATCTTGTACTGTAAAATTACTAATTTTCACTGGGTTTAAATTTCGCTGATTTACCATTTCAGGCATATTCAGTGGGTTTTAAATTCACGGTTTTATCATTTAGATAATGTGTTCTATGCTAAATTTTACATATTCACTGGGTTTTAATTTAGCGCATTTTCCAGTCAGCGAAAGAAGCAAAATTAAAACCCAGTGAATAATTAATCTATTTACAGTAACTATTTTTGACTCCCATG